TGCCTCAGAAACGGTCTGCGTGAGTGTTTTCGCGATGAAACACGTGCTGAATGGAGGCACAGTATCGTATAATGTGGTTTTTCATGCATTTTTTCTGCGGTTTTTTTCAAACATAGAGACTGAATATTATAAATTCGCGACCAAGCATATCCAATACAGAGAGTAATTACCACCATTTGTACGGTAAGTTTTAGGTTAAGCATCGTTGTCAATGATATATAACCCTAACCACAAGCTAGTAATAATCCAAACAGTACAGAATTGAACGATAATACTGCTATTTCTGCGCAGCTATTCATTCATACATGCATTCCTTTGTTGATTCATCCGTTCATTCATTAGTTCATGCAACCATTTACTTTCACGAGTTGAGATTCGTTAGGATAACATGTTCAAAATGTTTTTCTAAGTAGTGCGAGTGCTAGTTCGATCTGGCAACATCCGACAGGTTCGATTCCAACAGTGTTAAATGTGCCATGTGTGATGTTATCGAGAAAGGGCCGCTAGCCTTTGGCCTTGCGAAAACGAGTAGTGCTATTTAATTTATCACTTAACTTAACCAGTGGTCGACAACGCAATAATTTTCATTTGATTCTAGATAGAACGTAAGACAAACGAAGATTTTGCGAATTTCCAAGGTTAGAAGCCATTTGAACCTCGTACCACTAGCCTCCGTCCTGTATTCTGGACCCAAATTACTACGAAGAATAACTTCCCGTAACCCACATTCGACTACCATTCTTGAAACAATACGGAATGCTACAAAATCGATATCAAGAAAGACTGCAGTTGGCCTGAGGCACGAATATTCACGCATTGACCTCTTCTTCACTCTACGCGTGCAGTTGAATAGTCTCCATCACCTGCCATATTTCTAGACTTCTAAACTACTTTATGGACTCTGAATATCGAGATTCACTTTGGAACATCATTCCAGAATATGGCCTTTCTGCATATATGATATCCATACTGCGAAAGATGTACGAGAGTGTTTTTGACGTCGAATAAGTTAGCGGCTGTCAGGCTGAACGGTTTCAGAGCAATGCTAATGTTCAACAATTATTGCTTATACTGTTCAATTTTTGTACTGGACTATGTTCTTAAAGAAGTTGCAGAGTAATGCCACTGAGATGCATTTCTTTCATATCCTATGACAGCTAGAAATGTACAGTTAAACTCCGAGGCGGACCGATGCTCCTGTTCAACGTGAATACCTTCAAATATTGGCTGAATTACCTCTACAGGCAAAGATTGCGGCCAAGAACTCATGAGAAGAATGGAAATTACTTCTGAAGCATTTAACAAATTACAGAAAATATGGGTTAATTTTATTAATAACTTAGAAACTGACGTTAAGATCTGCATGGCAGCAATTTAGTCTACTCAAAATGTACGACCTTGAAACTTGTTGCCTGCTGAAAGAGCTCCATTACAAAACTAAGCAGTTTCAACTGCGTCGTCTTAGTCATACGTTGGGAATCAACTGGCGAGCGTGAGTAACAAATGAACAAGCTAATTAACTAGCAAAG